TTTTGGGGGAGATTCCCGCACGGGACTGCGCGCATAAAGGTCACTCAGTGAATCTCAGTGATGTTGAAGGACCCGATGAAACCATTGCGGAGAAAATTGCGCCCAGGATCACCCTTGGCCCTCGCTGGTGCATCACTCTTGACTCAAATTGACGTACTGAGCACCATAAGCCGGACGCCGCACACGCACACGGTCGCCACTAACATGCACCACCCTGCTGCTCTGCAGTGGATCCTCGTGCATGGCTGAGGCACCCCAAAGGGAGTTCAAGAACTCATGGACCATCATGGACCTGTAGATGCTTGGCACCCATATCATCCACCATATGAATGAGGAATCAATACAGGAATCAACAACAATATTGTGGTTGATACCATCCTCCATATTGTGGTTGATGATTGATGCTCGTTCTTCAATATGAATCAACCTACTATTATCGCTCCCGTGACCATAGATGGCCATCGAATCCTTTTTCTACCCGAGGGCCGCGTAGAACATCTCAGAACTGCCGCCGACAAGCTCGGGGTCCGCAAACACGCAACCAGCGCTGTTCGCTGCTGGACACCACCTGAGGAGTCCATCAAACGTCATCTGTTCAGAGGACTCTTCAAACGTCATCTGACTCCCTCCGAAAAGCCCAACGAAAACATCTGCAGCATTGTAACGGGTCTTCATCGAGTTTGGTCCTATAAAACAGGGGTTCCCTACTCAAGTGATTCCAATAAACAATCATCTCTTCAACACGGTGCTCCAAAAAGAATAATCTGGCAGTGTCTGACTCAATTGACATTAGGTTGGAGGCCATCGCAGTGTCTGAATCAATTGACTTGAACCTCCCATGACCTCCCACCTTCGATCGCCCGGTTGTTCGACGGTCCCACTTCGACCGACGCTGCGACGGCGGACAAATCCGGCGAGGCCGGATACGATCCCGTGGATCAAGGGAGGATGAACGGACGCCCCAGCGGTGATGTAGCCGTGTTGATGTTGGTGTGTGTGTGTGTTGTTGGTTTTGTTAAACTAATTGTATATAAAATATAGTTCTAGTTAATTTTCACCATGTTCTCCACATGGTCCATCAACTCAATGGATGAATGTATAATACATAATGACGTACCGTCATCATATATGGTTTCTTCTGCTTTCTTGGCCGCATTGGTCGAGGACAGTGGCGGGTACCTTGACTGCACCGACGACGCAGTGACCCCATCGACCGCCCCACGCCTCCAACCCCCCATCCGAGGCACCAATGGATCCGATTGTTCCAGATCCGCGAAGAACTGCTCGAAGCCACGGGGCGGAGGAAACCGCTCCAGTGAGGAGGAGGCTTCTGAGATCAGGCTCTTGTGCTCGCGGGACCTGCGCTTGCAGGTTTGCGTAAGGGGGGGGCTGCTCTTTGGTCATCGTTGTAGTCACGCTGTAAGGGTGCCAAAAGCAAAGGAAATGACATGAAATGATACGGGTTCTCTTGTTTCCATGCTTCGAGAGTGCTGTTGGATTCCTGTTTGATCACAGCTTGGATTCTTGGATGATCACTGCATGATTCATGATCGTGAAACAAGAAAACCATTCCTGGCTGAGCACCCATGATCATGATCTTCAAACAGTTGACACTCATTGACAAATTTGCCAACTGAAGCAACATCTGGAAGCGGATTATAAATATCTCCCCAAAGGATGGTTTTTCGTTTGACATCCCGAAAGCAGTCCATTCCGCTCGCTTGTTTGGCCAGCCAGGGAAGGGGGGTCCATTACCCACTGTCAGAATCCATAGGCTAAAAGCCCTACATAATGCGGCCAACACGAGTGGTCCAGACAGTGGCTGTCACCACATCTTGACATATTGTCTGGGTTTCAGGTGTTCAATACATTGCTCTGTGAGGATGCGGGGTGTTCCCACCGCGATTTATAACAGTCAGCTGGTTTGGTGCAAGATTTTGGCCCCAGGCCATTGTGGGAGGAAGATCCCAGAAATTGCAGCCGTCAGTTTTTGGCTGGTGTGAACTCAGGTTACTAACAACCTCAATGTTCACCAACTCGTTCATCTCACCCTTTAGAGCATGTGCAGCCTTATAGTAAAGAGCTACCCAAATACTTGGAGCCCGAGAGTAAAATGATAACACTTAAAAACACTAATGGCTTTATGTTGCTTTTGGGTCTACCTCTGCCAATTCTACCCCATAGATTCCGTCGAGATCGGTGTCCCGGTCCTGCTGAAGGCAGAGCGAATCGCTGGATGACTCGTGGGGCCAACATACTCATCGGCCATGCGATTCCAGGTGTTACGAGCATTCGGGTTGGCACCAAACATCAGGAGCTTGCAGACGATGTAGGCATTTTCCTGTTTCCTTAGGTGTAAAGATGGTCACTGCACGCAGTTTTCATGCGTTTTTCCTCGAAAAGCGTTCCGCAGTTCCATGTCAATCACGGCTTTTTTTGGGTAGGCAGGTGGTGATTCACGGTAGACAGGGGCCCCTGACCGGTGCCAATCTCCAAATCGCCATGTGGTAGCAGGTCGAGCACAAAGGGCATCAAAGGGCTGCAAAGGAGAATGGTTTTCTTCCAATGGATCTAGTGGCTGGCGATCTGGGGTGGTTTGGTGTCTTCAGGCGGTGTTTCTTCGTTGGACACAGGGTTGTCACGGTGACCCAGCTAGTTGCTTGTCATGGCAACGGAGGACGGGGGGTGGGGCCAAGATGATAACGTTCGTGTTCACATGCATTGACTCCATGCAGTTCTCCTCCGGAGTGATGTCACGTTCCCGAATGTTGCCTGCGGCCGGAGAGTGCTTTCGACAAGTTCTACAGTTTTCTGAGAGCAAGTGTGTGTGTGTGTGCGGCTGCGTGCCCGCGCGCGTGCAAGTGTGCGCGTGTGTGGTGTGTGGGTGTGTGGGGTGTGAAGTGGCAGCAGAAAAAACGTCGCCCGGATTCGTTGGTGGATATTGTTGATGTGCTTGACCTCAAGTCTCGTTCGATCCGCAGTGATGCGACTCAGGTCTTGCCATTAGCTTGGCATTTCATTTCAGTGTAAGTCGCCCGTTGCCGTGGGCCACGCTGCATGATCAGCACTGATTTGTTGCATCTAAGGACCGGGAGGTTCCTGGAGAGTCACTTGAAGCTGCAGTTCCATCAAAATAGTATGTTATAATATATTGTATATACAGAAAAAGGTTGATTGGATCTGCACCTTCAAATGTTCTTCAAACCTTTGCTACTCGCTTGGTTCAAAGAACAGCCCGTTCCACTATCAACAATCCATCACTTGACCAAAGCTGCCCAAGTACAAGGCCCCAGAACGAGGTTTCATAGACCCGAACAAGTCCTTTACATCCCATTCAGAGAGAGAGAGAGAGATCTCACTCTTTCCCCAGCCACACCTGGATCCATACCAAGGTGCACTGCTTCATGCAACGGATAGGTAATGATGAGGAAACCCTTGGAGCGATTCAGGTCATCGAAACCATTCTGCTGCAACCAAGTGTGCACCATCACCTCCCCAAACAGCGGAGACGGACACGTCGGGCACCGAAGCCGGCTTGGATGCCTGGAGGGAACGTTTTTGTTGGCGATGGTTGTGGTCAGAATTCTGTGGTTCCACACCAAAAAATTATACATTCTGGGTTGCTGTTGATGGGGGGTTCTGAGGTTTGCGGCGGTTGATTTCATCTTCAAACATCTTATCTGTTCATCCATCCACTTTGTTCACGCAGTCAGGACTACGACAGCTTTCAACCGAAGCAACCAACTGACTTCCATTGGTGCAATAGTGGTAGAGCGAAAAGCTAGCTGTTCATCCCAAACCAACAGGTGATACGCTCAACTGTGGACTACCCCTGCAGCCAAGTCTTCTGCAAAGCACACCTTTATTCAAACGAGCTCACTATCATGTTGACTGTCGAACCAACATGCAGGGTTGAACACTTGTTGTGAGACGTCAAAAGACCATGGACATCCATGGGCAGCACATAAAACAAAGAATCTGCTTCCCGGTCAGGCTCTTTTTTCGAACGAGGACAAAACAAAAATCCTATAGAACACTAGATTGATGAGCAGAGTCTCACAATTTCCAAACAAACCCAAACAAAGAAAAGGATACATTGATGGTCAAATGGTCTTGCCTATCAAGTAGCCAACCATACAAATCGTGGTCTTAGCAAAGGGCATCCCTCATCAAGCTCACTCAGCTCCACCCTGGCCACGCCCAGACCGCCTGAGCTTTGGCCAGCTCCTTGCGGTGTGCGAGGATGGCCAAGTCCTTGAATCAAGGCGCTGATCGTTACGTACCGTGAGGCACTTGGTAGAAGATATGTAAACAGATCCTCTTGGTGAGCTGAGTGGAGTGATTCCAAACTCGGCCTGTCGGTGAGTGCCATATCGGAATGTCCTGGAATCTCTGCATCAATAATGCTCCAGCACTACCTACAACTACACTCTCGGCAACGAGAGTGGCTAACTGGGCATGTCCCTTCTTAGGTGGGTCGACCGCAGAGTATTCAGTCGTCTGCAACTCAGGTATACATCGACCGAGTGTCTGTCTTGCTCAAGTCTTCCTTCCTTTGCAAATCTTGCGCCATGACTTTAAACGTGAGGATCCTTGACGCAAGACTTCCGTAGAGCCCAGCTGCAGCTCTGTCTTCGGATATCTGTCCAACTGAAGACATCCATACAACCACGTATCACATATGTCATCGCCGTGGTCAGTGTTTCCAAGGTTTGTCCAATTGGATTCTGTGGAAGTGTTGTCAGACTCCAAGTTCCGATGTCAAGGTGCATGCCGCAAAAAAAACACCCAACTAACTCCGGCAAGTTTGAACTGGGAGACATGTACACGACTGCTTATATGGAGCCTCCAAACTTGCCAGACCTTTGAACAAACAAACACCTCCAAATACCTTCTCAGAAACTAAGTGGATCCTGGAATCCTCAGTACTTGCACAACTTGTGCCAATTCCATGTTTCATTATCGAGTCTTGCTGTTGCAAACTCGAGAACAACATTCGTGCGGAACATGAAGGCCCTCCTCTGATTGCAAGTAGACCACCCACGCTCTATCATTGAAAGCCTGAGAAAGCGCTCGTCCAAAACCCCTTTTTGATCTACATCTGGTTGGCGGTTGAGCTGTCAATCTTCTCCTCAGACATGGCGCCAGTCTGTGTGGGTGCTGGAAACCGAGGATTTGGGGTCTTTAACACAGCCGCGTGTGGGAAATCCTGCCACAACGACTAAACGACTGGGGGGCTCACGCCGAGTTGGCCACCGCAAAAGTTGATGGATCTTCATGGCTCGTCTCGCAGACAGTTCTGACGGTCAGATCTGCGTGTCCTTGTGTCCCACTGACACGCCGAAAAAGGTAGGCCACTCTCGAAGACGTACTATAGTACTTCTTGGATCTTCTTGGATTTCTTGGTAAGAATGCTTTGCCACAAAACAGGACGCTAAAACTTAGGTCTTATAATCTTTGCTAACCTATATGTGAAGTTAGTTGGACCCTTCCAACCTACTGGAACTTTATGCCACTCCCAAACACCTTCTCAACCGGGATATGGAATATGGATGGTGATACCTACCAACAAAAACACGTCCAACCGCAGATTCCATGGTACTCACACCGATGTTGCTCCAAACCAATCCCCCCACTGTGCCCAGGATCTGCTGGGAAAAGAGGCCGCAAAGCTCGGAGGTAACCGCCAAAAAGGAGCCTTTGGAACTCAGCCCCACCGGCCCTGCTCGAGCCCCAGCGAACGAATCGAGATTGTTGGACTCATTGGAGCGAGGATCTTGAGGTAGCCACTGGCTGCAAA